GACGAAAGAGAAAACGATTTTTATATCGTATACCTATATTCGCGATCGTTTAAAGACCGTTAGACTGAACCTTTATATTTATCAATTAACGCGATACACATCTCATTGCTCGATACGATCCTTATCGACTACACGCTTAAATTATTTATTTCCTCCCCTTGTATATAATTGTAAATACGATTGGTCGTAATTGTGTATATGTATGATACGAGATAATCTTTAATTGCCGCGAGAAGATAATATTATTGTGTATGTAAGACGCTGCTGCGCTGGTAGGGTCTCGCGTGAATGCGAAACGATCTCACACTGTATATTCCTAATTATCGTACGAATCTTCTACATGTATATAGATAAATCTACATATATACATACACATATATGTACACAAATGTATATTACACCCGTGTAGACAGACTTGGAAAGTATGCGTATATCCCAGTGTCTCACAATATGTGGTCGATATAATCTATGTAACCCGCTTACATGTTGCCACCGATTAAATCGAATTAAAAATATATGCTCGCTCTCTCTACATTATTCTCCTGTCCCCTTGGATATACCTTGCACGATTTCCTCGGTAGACGCATGTTACAAACTTCCAAGCAAATAAAACGGCAGCTCGATTGACAGAATTCTGCAATTTCTTCCTTCTTCTTCCTTTTTTCTCTCTCTCTCTCTTAACGAGAACGTAAAATTTCTCCTCGAGGATAATTGTTGTCCTTCTTATCCGACCGGTAGGTACAATTAATATTTACCTCGATCAGACGAATTTCGCTCGAACCACGTTCAAAAGGGGATAAAGGAAAGGAGAGAAAAAATAAGGGGGACGAACGTTTATGGGCTCGAACGGTTTCGAAACGAAAGCGGACCAAGCAGGCGTAATTAGTAAAATTTACGTGGCCGAAAAGTATGCGGATTCGGTGGAAGGGAAACGGGCGTGCACGGACGCCACACGGACACGCCTCGTTCTCGGTGACACGGCGTGACGCGATAATTGATCCTAAATTAACGAGCCACCCGGTATCTCGAGCGCGACCGACAAATGGAACGTGGCGAGGATGACAGTGCGCGACTAGTTCAAACGCGTTCAAGCACATGCCGGTGCCGATCGACACTGGATAAGCGATATGTGCACCTGTTTCACGCTCCCATACGTAGCTAACTCGCCGACAGATTTACGAAAGTGAAGTTTCTTTCCACGGGATGGAGAATGTGCGAGAACGCGAGCAGAAGCTGCGAGAACGTTTCGGCTATTCGTGGAAGCGAGACCAATCCGTGGAAAGTTTTTGAAAGTTTAAGAGGGAGTTCGGTTTTAACAGCTTTTGACAATTTTCTGGGGTAAACTAGGAAAGATATCGTGATGACTCGTTTTTTTCGGTAGAAAGAGGCATCCTTGGTGTGTAATAAGAAAATTTTGTTCGGTGTAATTTTTAGTACTGTTGTTGGAAATTTTGTAGTTGAAGTTAGCATTGTCTGAAATCTACCCTTAACACTGGTTAAAGTGATTTGAAAGCAAAAATTTCAAATGTTATTGTTTTTTTATAGTTTACGGTGAGATTGAACTGACATGTAACGAAAAGAAACAAACTTGAAAGTTTAGAAAAAGAGTCAGCTTTTCTATCAAAGGAATCGTTTTGTATTATTTATAAAAACACTACAAATGAAGCTAAAATATTGATTATCGGTTTAATCCACAGAGAAATGTATATCGAATCGAATGAATTTGAAAAACATGGTTTCAAAAAAACGAGTTTGATAAGAATACTTGTAACTTGTAACTACAGCAAAGATGCTGCACTTGCAATTTATACAAAAAAAAAAAAAATTGATTTTTGGCACTTCGGCAAAATTGCAATTTAACATTTCCATGTAGAATATTAGATTTTTCATATACGATAAAAAAATAGTGAAACATATCGGTAGTCGAATAGAAGAATAGCAATTTATCTCGCGAAATTTACACGCAATGCCAATGGTTGATGTGGAATAAACGGTGCAACGGTAAATGTTATTAATTGTCGTTAATTTGAGCGTAGCGGCTGCGATGAGTTTCAGCATCCAGCGGCAACACGAATGGTGGCCCAAACCGGGGATAAATTACAGAGTCGTTGTCGTTGGCCATTGTATTTGAACGTGACGATCCCTAATTGGTAATTCTATCGCGGGCCCGTTCAATTGTCCGACGTAATTGCGCGGTACGCTATTTTCGCGTGCAAAAGGTACATTCGATTTTACGAACATCCGCTCTTTATTGAAAACGAGAATCACCCTCGATGCGACACCCCAAATTCTTCTCCACAATTTTCCTTCCCGTTCTACGGGGTAGTTAGACGAAGACCACTTTACGAGCTACCCTTAATTGATCTCTAATCAAACACGATGCAACCCTGCATTGCCAACTGATTGAGTAGAAAAAATTTGCTCCATATTTTCAAATACGGTTTTTCGCTAATTTTTCTACAACTCTCTTTACCAGTCTTAGACATTCACTGCGTGACCTACGATTAATTACAGAAACGGTAGGTTCTGCTCGTCTCGAAATGGAAAAACGAGACAGTCCAATTTTAATATTCCTAATAAATCCACGGAGTCAGTCCGCGGAGGTCGCGTAATTCACCGCTGACGAACGGCGTCCATTCGAGTCGCCATTATTAATTATCATTAATTTAAGCGTCGGGGACGCCACACGGCCGTGGGGACGGGGGGTTGTTCGCGCGATAGAACTGACGGAGCGAAAGAGAACGAGAGAGCAAGAGGGAGAGGAATAGAGATGGGAGGAACGAAGCGTTCGGTGGTGTTCTCTTCCAACGGGTTGGAAACAAACGCGCGAATGGTGGCCCAAACCGGGGATAAATTACAGAGTCGTTGTCCTGGCCATTGTATTTAACTGCGGCGATGCGTAATTGCTGGAACGCCGTTGCATATACGGCACAAGAGGAGAGAGGAGCGCAAGTGTGTCGAGCAGGGTGGAGAAAACGAGTTGGAAACCGGGGGAAGCAGATAGGAGCGCGGAAGGCCAGCAGCGAGGGTGGCAACTGGAGGAGGTGGTAGGGAGTTGCCACTGTGGTCGAGAACCATAGTCATCGGAATGGCCATTAGGGGTCTCTACGTTTCCACCAGTGGCTCACTAAATTTCACCTTCTTGCACGGCTACCGCGACCACCTTGCGCGAACCTCCACGATTAATGGCACCTCAGCCGGCTGTTTATTACAATATCAGCTACTACCGAGGGGCTAGGCTCGCGGCCACTTCCGCCGCGCTAGTTTCTAGCTGGAGAAAGAGGAAGCGAACCGTGGTAAGCTAGAAATAGCGTACACGTAACCCTCGATTTATAGGGTTAATTGGTATTGTACGAATCGAGAATTGTACTCGTCCAAACTACCGCTAAAGCGGATATGAAAGTGTAACGTAAATTGTTAGAGTGAAACGGAATAGTATTGTAGCGAGCACCGTTTATAATCTCATGGCCTACTAGTGCTCGCTCCAGAATCGAGAAGACCGATCGATTTATCAGTCTGATCTGAACCGGAAACAGAGTGGGACGACATATTCAGTTACCACAATTTATCGTACAGTTCCTGTAGTATACTGCAAGTATTGTGTTCCTTTTCTTTAAGGAACAGTTTAAGTATGTCAAGCTGACAGTATGTGATAAAAGTTTATCAGGTTTTCTTTTTAATTGTAATGCTACTTGAATATCCTGCTGGTAAAGGGTTACACGTACCTCCTATGTAATGAATGTTACTATTGTGGGTGTCGATCATCAACTGACGTTAATTGATCGGGGTTAACGAACTGATAAATCGAATGGAAACGATGCTGCACAAATGGATCACTCTAACGACCAAAACGTTAATTACCCTCGTAGGTCAAGGTTCGTTATTCGCATTGAAACGTCGGGCTCGCTTTAGATCAACGAATCGGAATTTCCTTGGTGAGAATCGAAACGGTTCTCGATCACCTGGATTCAGGCTGGATCAAAAGCGTATTCTGGTTGGTCTCGAGGAAGCGAAGGAGCGTGTGCTCGCGTTTCCTCTCTGGCTGGCTCTGCTAACGAGTGTAACGAGCCCCGGCCCGTCAAATTAAAGGCGGGCCGCGCGAGAGGCGAAGCGAAATTTATCGCGCCGCTTTCGGGAACCGCGGGTAAAGGCCACTTAGCTGCCCGTAAATGCGTCGTCTCTATGACGACACGGCGGCAGATGTCTCGCCAATAGATCACCCCGGGGTACGAGCAGAGAAAGAGGCTTTGTGAACGCGTGTCTCTCATCGCGAGCACCGCCAATGGACGTGAAAGAGCCGCGTATGAGTTATGTCGTAACGAGTCGCCATGTTTTTCTCCTGCACACGCTCTCCGGGGAACGCTAAAAGATTCCGGGAGGGAAAGGTCAAGATTCATTGCGGCTGCGACGATGAATTTTAATTACCCTCCGGGCAATTTTCAATTCTCATCTGGTGCAATTGCGTGGAACAGTGTTGCACAGATTTCACAGCGTAAACTTTGATTCTACGTTAATACGCCCTCCTAGATATAATCATAATCGTAATCTCAAAATCATAGGCGGATCACCGATTGCATCGCGGCTGGTCTGTTATCGCACCGATGGAAAAATCGGTTTGACGGCGTGACTGTTTTATTGGCATGCGTGAACATCGGTACACCGCACGGAGAAAA